GTCAACTCTATTTTGAGGAGGCAGCTCTTCCCCAGTCGCATTTTGAGTGCCTTCCAACAGAAACCTGTGAACCATGGGTGATACAACTGGCATTTTAAACACTGAAGGCATAGCTTCCAGCATTATAGCAACACACAAGCCATAACTGGTGGCATAGCTTACAGCATCACAGCAACATGCAAGGCACCACAGTATGACAAACTGACAGACAGGGGGTTAAGGCAATATAATGAGTCTTTTTAATCTCAGTGATTGTACTTTTCAGTCTTAAAATTTCTAATTGAAAATTCTCTTTTATCTTTCAATTAACATTTCTCATTTCGTTCTTTATTGACACCATGTTGTTAAGAGACAGAGTTGGTTCCAACTCACAGTAATCCTGTATAGGATTGCCTAGGAGTGGCTGGTGATTTTGAACAGCTGAACTCTGCAGTTAGTCCAGTGCTTATCCTACAACACATCAGGTTTCCAAAGATATTGTATTGTACTTTTAAAATAAATTTTAAAAAATTTCTTGAACATATTTATACTTGCTTAGTTGAAGCCTCTGTTTGCTAATTCGAATAGCTGAAACAACTCATGGTCTGTTTCTACTGACTGTTTTTAGTGGATCATACTTTCCTGTTTAGTATATTTTGATTGAAAACTGAATAATACATCACAGTGGCTCTATATTCTATTTTGCTTTGTTCTTTTAAGGATTATTATATTTTCTTTAAGTAAATAATTATACTTTGAAATCTATGTTCTGTATGGGATACAAGAGCTGCTATCTGTGACTAGTTCTTACAGTTTGTCCTATTGCTTTCTGAGATCTCCTTGAGCCCACCCTATGCCTACATAATCTGAGGGTCGGTCAAGATTTGGGCAGAGACAGTGCTTGTTGTCTTTATGAATTCCTTATTCGTAGTGATTATCCCTATTCTTTCCTGTTGCTCTGACAGTTTCAGGTTTTGTCCTTCTACACTTCAAAACCGTAAGTGGTTTGTCAAACCCATAAAACTTCTACTGCCTGAATTGCAGACTTCAGAATTATACTCAATTATAAATAACAGAAAATTAAAATGTCAAGTTCCAAATAGCTGTGTTTCAAGAGTAGATTTTCATCATGTTTTGCCTGGTTTTACACTGCGCTCCCTGAGGTCCCTCATCCATATTCTCTATACTCCCATATGCATAGTTTAGGTTTCAGCCATGGATATAGTAAGAGTTTATACTCAGATTTTTGGCTTCATTCTTTTTATGGTTCTCTTGCTGCCAAGATTTCCTCTTTAAATTTCCAACAACATTTCCAACCTTAAACTCTGATCTTGGCTTCTCAAGACCATACAAGGCTACTGTTTTTCCAAAGTTATAACTGTATGGCTTTTGGGAAATCATTCAGCTCAAAAAGCCACAAACTCACAGCTTCCTTATGTTTTTGAATACTTTCCAGTGTTTAAGGACATTTACTCAGTTTTTACTATTGGAGTTAAATTGTTATCTATTGGAGGACTCAAGACACTATTTCAGAAATCTATTGCTACTGAAATCTGTCATCCAATTTTTACAGAACAGGAAATAAGCCTTAGAAAGGTTACACAGCTAGTAACTATCAAAGCTAGAATGTTTTATAACTAAATTATAAATCCAAAGCCTGATTTTAACTTAACACCCTCATGTGATTTCTCTATTACATGTGCAGTGCACCGTTCTATTATGTCAATAATGATTAAAACAAATAACACAGTATGGAGCATAAAACAAAACATAGGGTTAAATGTCTTCCTTTTACCTAGCAGAAACCAATTAACCACAATTTGATAAACCATTAATTTGTATTTCAATAGTTATATGCTCAGGGACAATTATGATGTTTTAGTGATTCTAAAGTGAATGAAAATAAAGAGTGCTTTATAAAATTATTTTTAACATTATGATTTACTTTCTAATTTCATAGTCTACATTTTGGGGACAATGAAATGATTAGTTCATGTTCCAGCAACCCTATTTAACATCTAATGCAAAATACATCAACAATAAAGTATCAAGAAAACTAAACTACAGACATCTAATTGTTTCAGAAACAAAGAAAATGAAAACCTTCTTTTGTATCTGTCCTTGAAGATCTTCAGTCACTTTGGTTAACTCTTCCACTTTTGCTGCTGCAACTCTCAGATCTAACTTAGCTTGCCTAAGAAAGAAAATATACCCATGATCATTGTTTAATGACCCACAAAATCAGAAAAGAAATCAAACTTTGGCAAAATTCGTACAAACTTTTATGTACCGAAAAACATCTAAGGGTAACTTCGAAAAGATTCCTTTATTATGAATAAAGTGCATATGAAAGAGGAAAAAGAGGAAATACAGCTGAATGTGGGGGTGAAATAGGAGTAATTAATGCTTTATTTGGATAAATTACATTTAAAAAATGCTTTATTGTGAACTATGCAATAGTTTACATGGGAGAAAATTAGCTTTACAGTCATTCTATTGCATGGATAACTATTTTATACTCAAATAATTCAATATATACCATGAAAAAGAACTTGAAAAACCTGAAAAATTACCTAATAGGCCAGTACAGTAAATGAAATATAGTTACTTTTATAATTTGCTGAAGTTTATAGAAGAATTATTGACTAGACTTTGCATACAAATGAACCTAAGCTTCAAAACCTTATTCATCCCTAAATAAAAGAAGCATGTATTAAATGACCATTTAACATAATAAAATCTAATATTTACCTCATGATAGTATATTTCATTTGTCCAGACTATAATTATAAAAGGCAAGAACTATAAGTTTCTTTTAAACACCTAAGAGTATTACATAAATGAAATTATCTTCTTGACTCCCCAGGAAATGACTTTAAAATAATGATATGTCTTTCTCCCCACCCGCATATGAATCTTATTGTTTATTTTATGAGCAAATCAGTTATTTAGCTGATAAGTGACTTCCAAGAGTGGTTTAAGTTCAGAGTATGAATAGAATAAAAGATATTTAATATCATACCAATTAAGCATTCTGTCTACAGAAAAATTTATTGTAGGTGTTTGCTTCTTAATCCTATTTTATGAAAGCGTCATAAATATAAATCATACCAACCACTGACAATATTACATCAATTACAATTCAGATTGACCCGATGGGCCAGAGTAGAATTGCTCCTTTGGGTTTTGAGACAATATTTCTATGAGAGCTGACAGGCTCATCTTTCTCCCAGGAGTAGAATCTCTGACCTTAGGGTTACCATCCTAATGTAGCTTCACCAGAGCTTCTTATAAATCGTATTGCTGTTGCTGTTAAATACAGTTGTACAGGTTTCAACTCATACCTATGCTGTATAGGGTTTCTCAAGGTTGTGAAAGTGAATATTTAAAATATAAACTAGAATATAACATGGGATGGAGTACAATATTGTTGTTAGATGCCATCGAATCAGTACTGACTCATAGCGACCCTATGCACAATATAATCTTACAAAAATCACCATTAACACATTTAAACACTTTAATCATCAATACATTTCTTTGGCATTTAACATCAAATATTTGGCTCTGTATGATAAGCACTAGACTGTTAATCACAAGATGGGCAGTTCCAGTCACCAGCCTTTCTGTGGGAGAAAAATGAGGCTTTATGCTCCACAAGATTTATAGCCTTGGAAACTCTATAAAGGGTCACCTTGTGTTAGAACCTACTCATTGGCACTTAACAACAACAACAACAGGTCTATTATAAAATAAGTTTTTGCCTGTTTCTTTCTGCAGCCTCATATCAAGAGAATACTAAAAATGTATCCCACGTTTTCCTGGTACAATGAAAACCGGCACAATTCCAAGAAAAATAAAACTCAGATTTCACTAATTTGATATGTAGTCTTAATTTTTTTCTCTTTAAAGTCAAAGAAGAATGCATGCATTGGGTACTTTAATAATGACTTTTGTAGGAGTCTCTGGGTAACAAACATGAGTTGGCAGTTTGAATTTATCCATGGACCCCTTAGAAGATAGGCCTGGTGTCTACTTCTGAAATGTCAGAGTTGAGTAGTACAGCTCTGCACACACGAGGATGCTATGAGTTGCAACTGACAAAACAGTAACTAATAAAATTATCCAAAGTAATAAAGTCAATAACTTATGCATACATATTTCAGGAATTTCTAATTACAATTTTATACAAAAAAATTTAAAGTCATTAAAGCTTTTAGGCAACCAATATCAGGTAGCTAAACTGGGAAAAATTATTTTATTTTTTTTCTCATTTCCAATCTTTAGCAGCATTCTAACAGTTAAAAATCTATTAAGAACACAGTTTAAGGAAAACCCCTTAAAAGCATTGGACATTAATAATCTGTACAATGTTTAATCAAAACTTTAAAAAATATCAGTTCTTAAGTCATTTATAAATAGTTCATTTATATGAAACTTAAATTATAGGCAATTCAAAATTCAAAGTTAATTCAAAATTATATATAACGTACAGTAATTTGCCATTTTAATACTTATGTCAAAATTTAATTTTATATGATACTACTAATGGTTGGAGTCCTGGTGTGGACTGCAAAGTTGCTTTGAAACACAAGGTCAGCAGTTCAAGCTCACCAGTTGCTCCTCAGAAACCCTATACAGGGTTGCTATGAGTCAGAACCAACTTGACATCACATAAAAACAAAAACAACTAATGGTAATCTATTCATTATTTCTTACTCATTCAGAATGTCTGGAAATGGTACATGGTCGCCTTTATATTTCACAATATCTTAAAGGTTATTCTGATGTGCAGGCAAAACTAAGAACCTCTGTATTAGATGTTATAGATTATCTACAACATCAACAGGATTGTTTGACATGAGTGATTACAAATGCAGTTTTGGAGTCATATAACTTTCAGTAACAGAGAAAGAGGTGAAAATATTAATTACATTTATTATCAGGTAGGTTATATAAGCACTGGACTTCAAACCACAAGGTTGGTGGTTTGATAGAGGCTATTGCTCTATCAAAGATTTACAGCTTCGGAAACCACATACAGGTTCTCGATGAGTTGGAACCGAATCAGTTGCACTTAACAACAACAGCAACACATTATAAAAACATCTTATAAAGTGGACGTGAGCAATACATATTTACTATGTGCTCATGGTGATGGAGATTCTACAGAACTGGGGGTGGTTAAAAACACAAAGATAGGCAAGATACAGTAGTATTTAGAAGAATCACAAAGTAGACTTTGCTGCTGTTCTTCTTAAGTGCCCTGAAGTCAGTTCCCTTTCATGTTGTTGTTAAGTGCCATTGAGTTGGTACCAACCCATAGTGGCCTTATGCACAGCAGAATAAAACACTGCCCAATCCTGGTCCAACCTCACTACTGTTGCTACACTTGAGTCCACTGATGCTGCCACTTGTCCAATCCATCTCATTGGGGGTCTTCCTCTTTTTCTCTGACCCTGCACCTTACCAAACATGATATCCTTCTCCAGTACTTGGTCCCTCCCGACAATATGTCCGAAGTACGAGAGACGAAGTTTGGCCATCTTGGCCTCCAAGGAGCACTCTGGCTGTATTTCTTCCAAAATGGATCTACTGCTTCTTTTGGAAGCCCATGGCACTTTCAATATTCGCCTCCAGCACCATAACTCAAAAGCATCAATTCTTCTACTGTCTTCCTTATTCATTGTCCAGCTTTCACATCCATATGACGTTATTGAATTACCATGGCTTGGGTCAGGTGCACCTTAGTCCTCAAGCTGACATCTTTGCTCTTCAACACTTTAAAAAGGTCTTGTGCAGCACATTTGCCTAATGCAATACATCATTTGATTTCTTCACTGATGCTTCCTTGAGTGTTGATAGTTGATCCAAGAAGAATGAAATCCTTGACAACTGCAGTCTTTTCTCCTTTGATAAGAATGTTGTTTATTGGTCCAATGGTGAGGAATTTTGTTTTCTTTACACTGAGATGTAAACCATACTGAAGGCAGTGCTCTTCGATCTTCATCAATAAATTTTTTAAGTCCTCTTCACTTTCAGCAAGGAAGATTATATCATCTGCATACCGCAGGTTGTTAATGAGTCTTCCTCCAATACTGATGACACATTTTCTTCACATAACCCAGCTTCTCAGATTATTTGCTCAGCATACAGGTTGAATAAGTATGGTGAAAGAATATATCCTTGTCGCACACCTTTTTTAATTTTAAACCATTCCATGTTCCCATGTTCCGTTCAATCAACTGCTTCTTGGTGCATGTACAAATTCCTCATGAGCACAATTAAGTGTTCAGGAATACTCATAGTTCACAATGTTGGCCATAGTTTGTCATGATCCACACAATCAAAAGCCTTTGTGTAGTGAATAAAGCACAGGTAAACATCTTTCTGATATTCCCTGCTTTCAGCCAAGATCCATCGGACATCAGCAATGATATCCCTCATTCCACAGCCTCTTCTGAATCCAGCTTGTACCTCTGGAAGTTCTTTGTCAATGTTTGCTTGCAGCCGTTTCTGTATTATCTTTAGTAAAACTTTACTCGCATGAGTAAAGAGACTGTCTGATGATTTCTGCATTCCGTTGGGTCACCTCTCTTTGGAATGGGCACAAATATGGATCTCTTCCAATCAGTCAGCCAGATAGTTGTCTTCCAAATTTCTTGGTAGAGATGAGTGAGTGCCTCTGTGCAGACTCACTTTGTTGAAAGATTTCAATTTTTCTTCCATTAGTTCTTGGTGCCTTGATCTTGAAACTTCCTTCAGTGCACCTTGGACTTCCTCCTTCAGTCTCATTGGCTCTTGATCATAAGCTACCTCTTGAAATGGATGTAACTATTTCCTTTTTCTTCTCTTGATGCTACCCGCATCATTCAGTAATTTGCCCAGAGAATCTTTCAATACCTAAAGTTAAGGCTTGAATTTTTTCTTCTGTTTCCCCAGCTTGAGAAATGTTGAGTGTGCGCCTCCTTTTTGGTTGTCTGATTCCAGATCTTTGCATATTTTGTTGTAGTATTTGGCTTTGTCTTCTTGAGCTGATCTTAGAAATTTTCTGTTCCGCTCTTGGACCTCCTCATTTCTTCCATTTGCTTTAGCATCTCTACGCAGGAGAGCAAGTTTCAGTGTCTCTTCTGACAGACACGTTGACCTTCTCCTTCTTTCTTGTCTTCTCAGTGACCTGTTGCTTTCTTCCTG